AAAAAAAATTCTTTTTTTTCCTCTCGCTTCAAGCGTACACTACTAGGTGAAGTTGGGGAAGCAAACAATGTGGATACAACTTGATTTGGTTATTTGTTGGCATCATATATAGAGAGATAATGTTCTTATTTGTCTAAAATGATGCCCTCAGTCACACTAGGCAAAATTATTTTTGGTAAAAGAATATGAACAAGAGTCTATACTCTATAGCTCAGTGGTAGAGTATAATAGATTTTATTATTATTAGAATTTTAGATATTATTACTATAATTTTGCTATAGTAGCAAATCCCTTATTATGAATTAATAATATTAAGGTCATTAAAAGTTTATTTTTTAAAAAAATAATATGTGAAAATATTAGTTTCATTAATTTATTTTAATTTATTAATTAATAGTAATAAATATTATTTTTTAATTAATAATTAATAATTATTTTTATTAATTAAATTAAATATAAATTAATATTTTAAAAACAATATTTTACAATTTTACTAACATAGCATTATTGTTGGTTTTGGTGGGCAGACACGTTTCACACTCTCAATCTTTTCAGTTTTTACTTTTTAGTTTTGAGGAATTCTCCTCCGAAGTTGAGGACCTGCCTAGAGGCTAGAGCAGGTGAAATCAAAGAGAAATTCCCTTCGGGCGTACAATTTTCCATTATCAAATTCCCCTAATCACATCTTCTCGAGATTTCTGACTCATCTTTTGAGTTTTCACGCCATCTAGAAAAGGTTCCATTTTCCTTTTTCCCATCTCTTTAAGAAATGAATCCCCATCTCCAATTTGTCTTCTGGTAAGCAAAGATCAGTCCTTTAGCCTATTTTCTTTGATGGGTAACTATTCTTTTTGTTGATTTCGATTGAATTGTGAGTTCCAAAGATGGGATGTTTCCCGGATGAAGTTATTATACAGATTCTTGCCAGATTGCCTGTGAAGTCGCTTTATAGAACAAAAACGGTGTGCAAACTTTGGTATAGATTGTCATCTGACAGGTATTTCATTCAACTTTATAATGAGTTATCTGTTAGAAACCCAATGCTGCTAGTAGATCTTTCTGATTCCACTGAATCGAAATCGAGCTCGATTTGTGTTGATAACTTGAGGGGGGTCTATGAATTTTCATTGGATTTCTTGAAAGATAGAGTCAAGGTGAGAGCTTCATGTAATGGTTTGCTGTGTTGTTCCAGCATCCCTAATAAGGGTGTGTATTATGTTTGCAATCCTATGACTAGAGAGTTTAGGTTACTTCCTAAGAGTAGAGAAAGGCCGGTGACTCGGTTTTATCCTGATGGTGAGGCAACTCTTGTTGGTTTGGCCTGCAATTTATCTACCCATAAGTTTAATGTTGTGTTAGCTGGTTATCATCGTACATTTGGTCATAGGTCAGATGGTACCTTCATTTGCTTGATCTTTGATTCAGAATCAAGTAGATGGAGGAAGTTTGTGTCTGTTCAGGATGATCACTTCACACATATGAATAAGAATCAAGCTGTGTTTGTCAATGGTGCTCTTCATTGGTTGACTCGTAGTTGTTCCTGCATACTTGTGCTTGATTTGGATTTTGACGTTTGGAGGAAGATTTCTCTGCCTGATGAAGTGAGTTATGGGTCTGGCAATAGAGTTAATTTGTTGGAATCTGATGGATGTTTATCTGTGATTCAGATTTCAGATGCATGGATGAAAATTTGGGTGATGAAAGATTATGAGAGGGAACAATGGTTTCTGGTCGATAGAGTAAGTCTTAGATGCATTAGGGGACTAGTGCCTGGCATTTTCCCAGTAAGTCAAAGTAGTGAATATGTCTTCTTGGCAACCCATAAGCAAGTTTTGGTATATCATATAAAGAGTAGAGTGTGGAAGGAGATGTATTCTGTCAAGAACTGCCCTACCCTGCCATTATGGTTCCTGGCTCATGCCTTCCGGAGCACAATCTTTTCTTGCAATTGAGGTGTGCTCTACAATCTGCATTTACATATAGTGAACTTCTGTACATATATTTCTTGTCCAAAGCAATGTCATGTATATCTTTTTATTATTCTTCAAGGCTGTTTATTTTATGTATCTGGTTAGCTTACTAGTTGTTGCATTGGGAACCTCTTCTAGAAGTACCATTGCATTGTTTTCTCTTCATTGTAAGTGCCTTCTGTTGCCTAGAAAGAGTTGATTTTGATATCAATGGTTCCTTTCTCCCTTCGTTAACCACTTGTTGATAATATATCTTGGCAATCATTTATGATGGTGTTTCAGAGAAGAAGATTGTTGCTTGATACAAAGGATAAACTGAAAGATGCATCTGGCGTTGATTGATTTATATCTGCAGGACTTGCTAATAAAAACTCTGGTCTGGTAGCAAGCATACAAAGCAATACCTTTCTCGGCCTTTTGACTAAGATCAAGGTAGCATATGAGGCATTAATCCAGGATATGAATCATATGATGCACAGTCCTTAAACAATTGCAAACAGAAGATGATCTTGTGTCAAGGAACATACTATTAGTTTTTTCAGATGTTCAAATTGAAAATAAGGGGTTGAGGGTCTCTATCTCTTTCACCCCCCTTCAAGATTCTTACCTAAGCAAGGAGAATGAGAGATCTCTCCCTCTATCTCCTCCCCTTTCCTTCATTTCCCTCAAAACAAACAGATTGTTATTTCCTCTCCTCTCATTCCTCCGCTTCATTCGTGGTGAAGTGGTCTATTTATAGGCACAAGTTATATGTGAATTGACCTTAAATGCGCTATACTTTTAAGGCATTTGGGAACTGTACACAAATATTTCTTGATTTGAGTTTAAATAAAGATATTAACCCTAAATCAAATAATTTAAATGATTAGAGATAAGAGTTTTCTAACATGTGTTTTTAAGCACATGAGAGTTGTATTAATGGTACTTTCTTTTCATTAATTTTTAGTAATATTTTAAGAGATGTATTATCTTAATTTAAGACTTTCAGGATATTATATTATCTCAATTAGAAAATTTTTAGAATAATGATTTTTTTTCCCAATTAGTACATATGCATCTAAACTTTTTAAGATATGAGTTATACTAACAAATTAGAATGACCACGCAGTAGAAAAAAAAATGTTATACTTATATCATGTGATATTATAAATTTATAATATAATATATTTTTAGATAATTAACTCTTTTTATATAGAGATTCAATTGTAATATTATATATATTTATTTTTTTAATATTTCATATTTTATTTAATGTCATATAAAATTATAAATTTATTTTTTTATTAATTTCTTGATATCTGATAATTATATTGGATAAAAGATAATTAATACATAGTAATTAATATGTCCCATTAAAAAAATGTAATTAATCGGCCAAAAAAAATTAGGCAGACCAAAATAAAATAAAATAAATGAATGAAGCAAAGCAAACACCTTCACCAGACTTCTTTAAACAAAGACATTTATGTTTCTGCATGGCGTGTGGATAATGCTACAACCAAACAGACCCCAACGCAACAAGAGTACCTAATCATAGTGTCTTTGGTATTAGACCTTAAGAAATCCTCCGGTTTAGAACTTCGTGAGTATCTCTCTCTTTGCCCTCTCAGGTTCAATTCTGAAAAGTCTCACCCCTTTTCAACTTTTTTGGTCAAATTTCACACATTTCCAATTACAGAAGGAAACACAAACACCCATCTCAGCTTTGATTATCAACAATCTGTTCACTTTCAGTTTAGGGCTTTTCCTTCTCTGTAAAGGGTATTTCTCCATTTCTCTCCGTCATGGAGTCTGCACTTGCGGTCTTGTCTTAGTCAAGGTATGGCCTTTTCTCCTACCCTTTATTCTGTTCAATGTCAATTGTTATTTACACAATTTGGGTATTCTTTGTTTTCAACCTATGTTGATTCCATTGCAAAATTGTTCTGGGGTTGTAGATGGCCTTGTGTTTTTCTCTGTCTTCCCCTTGTTGTTTTGGAAATTTGGGGGTTTTGGTACCCTACTGGGTTTTCTTTATTCTTCCCTGTAATAGTCACTGGTAGAGCTCCCCTGTGTCCAGGCAAATACATGCAGATATATAAATTGTGTAAATGTGTTAAATTTGTTGTAAAGAGCTGTCCTTTCCTTATGTCGAGACGTGTGCTGTATTTCCCTAGTTGATGGAGGGAGAGGAGTAGATCAGGGATCGGGGGGTTGAGAGCTTTAACCATTCAGCCATGGATGCTTAACGAGGATTCTCGGACATGTTGAATAACCAAGTTCCAATTGGAATTGGATTATGCTGCACGAAATTTCAGGTGTTAGTTTACTAGCTTTATACAGGATAACTACAAGGAAGGGACGTTGATTCCTCTTTTTTTATCGTTTTACAAGGATTGTCCTTATAGATTACTGTATTCTACTCTTGGGAGTGCTTAGGGAATAGGGATAGAAAAGTTGCGTTTCTTTCGCACATTACATGGCAGTGATTTGGATGGATAGTAGGGTTCAATTTGTTTGGATTGAGAAAGTAATTGTGATGCCTAATCCCACATAGGGGAGAAAGTGTGATTGTGAGTGGTATGTATCAATTTTATTTTTCAGTTAGGCAGTTTTTAAGATGACTTTATTATTTAGCGATTGATTTCTACTTGTTAACACATGAAATTTTGAAATGTTTTGACAAGTGAATGTATATATATTCATGTCAAACCTCTCTTTCATGTTTCTCTTTATGGGTTAGGAATGCGTTGAAGTAATTCATCCTTAAGGCACTGCTTCAAAAAATATAATTCAATGGCACGAAAGGGTAGTCAGCAGAAGAATGGGGTGGATCGCCGCTCATCAAATCATAAAAGGAAGGGTCCAGATTCAGTTTCTGCAGTATCAGATGCAAAAGGAAGGGAAAAAACAAGTGAAGTAAAGGTTTTTCCCCAAGAGGAATTGCCAAATGGTAACCATCCAGGTAGTCCTCTCACTGAGCATGTGAACAAACCCCATCATGAAGAAAATGAGAATAAACATAAGCCAGACCTTGAGAAATCCATTAGGACAACAGACATGCACGGGATTGATGCAGTGGTGGGTCTCAACCAATCAAATTTATCTGAGAATAGTTCAGGCGATTGTATCAAAGATGTATCATCAAAGGAAGCTCCTCTAGAAAGAGAAGAAACAGGAACGTTGCCTGGTGGCAACCTTGAACCAAAACATATGAAAGGATTTTTCAGCTTGTTCCAGAGTGTTCTGCTTATGAAAAATGCTGTTCTGAATCTACAGTTATCCAATAATTTGATTGTAAGAAATTTGACGACATCAGCTCTGTCAGCCTTAAAAACATGCAGTGAGTGGCTAGAAAGGCAGAGGCCATTTTTCATATCACTGAGAACAAACATATACAATGCTCGAGATCATGTCAAGCTGAAGATTGAGCAAATATATCCCATTGTTTTGAAGTGGCTTCTGCATTTTGGGAACATCATCCTTCTCTTATTGATGGTCTGGCTGGATTGTACTCTTAGGGGCTTAGATTCCTTCATACGCATGGGGACAACATCTTTTTTCTCAGTTATATGGTGCAGTATTTTCTCAGTTTTTGCCATGGTTGGGATTCTCAAGTTTCTTTCAGTCTTGGTAAGCCCTTATTAGTTGTTACATCCATATTTGATAAAATGTTATGATGCTTTCATTGCCTTTTGAGAAATAATTTCAGCTGCATGTCTTCATTTATTCTCTTCAGAAGTACTTGGTTTATTTAGTCTTGTGTTAAGTCATTTTCTTAATTAGCTAGTATCCTTTTTGTCTACTGTTTGATTAAGTGGCCTGATGTATGCATTGAAAATGAAATTACAGCACTTTTAGCCCAAAAATGTTTTAACCCTGTGATAGAAAGAGCTAAGGTATGGTTGGCTGCTTATTGGTGATAGAAAAAAAGGACCAGAAGCTAAACTGAAATGGATGATAAGGAGTGTCAGTAAATTTAATATATAGTAGCACATTTTGCTAATTGTTACTTGTTCACTTATTGTTTGAGGGTTTCATAAATTTATATGTGGTTTCTGAAAATAACAAAGAGCTTGCAGTATTAAACTATCTTTTGTATTGTTATTTAACAAATTGTAGTATACTGTTTAAAGCAGATGATTCTCTTTGTTAATTGGCATACTATTTAAGCAACCTTTATGGAAGTCTTTTCCTGTATTACTAAATCCACATAAATAAGTTATTGCTTGATTTATTCAAGTATCAACCTCTATCATTCGCAACTTTGAGTAACAAGAAACTCTTCAAAATAGATGAAGTTGTTGCTCATAATATTGAATACCACCCATGTAATCTGAATTCACTTCTCTGGTTACCTATAATACAAAAGGGGGGCACTTGGCATCTACCATATGGTATCTCCGAAAGTTTACCATTTGTGGAGTCTCATATTATCTTCTCTCCATTATAACGAGATTAGCTGATGATTCAAACATTCTTATTACTTGTTTTAATTTTGACTACTCAGGCCATAGCTGCTCTGACAGCAGTTTTTATTGGGTTTACCCTTGCAATTTTGGTAGTTGCCATTTTTGGAACTCTTTTCCTGTGGTTCTATGGAAGTTTCTGGACAACATTGCTTGTCATCTTTCTTGGAGGTGATCATTATTTCCTTACTAATTGGATTATCTTTTTCATTTGTAAATCTTCTTATGAAGCTATTGGAGAATTAATGGTTTCTAATATTTCAGGGTTAGCATTCTCCTTAAGTCATGAGCGCCTTGCTCTATTTATCGCAACTGCATATTCTGTATATTGTGCTTGGATCTATGTTGGATGGCTTGGTTTGCTTTTGGCTCTGAACCTATCTTTTATCTCAAGTGATGTATTGATATACTATCTGAAGAATAACGTCAATCAGCATGGGAGGCCTGGTGGGCAACCTGAACAAGGTAGTGGAATGCATGGTCAACCTGGCTTCTTCAATGGTGAGTCTTCATTCTCTGAAAATGGCCCAGGTTTATCCACAGATCGTGGCCCAGGGGTACCTTCAACTAGTGGGGTCGATACTGAGATAACTTCTGAAGATGAAGTTGTTCGGTTGTTGAATTGTACTGATCATTATTCTGCATTGGGCTTGTCACGGTTTCAGAATATTGATGTTAATTTACTCAAGAGAGAATATAGAAAGAAGGTACATTCCCTTTGTTCCCTGATCATGCATCATTTTCTTCATTGTTCAAGGTTGCTACTTATAGCAGTTTCTTGAAACTTATGGTTTCTATGTAAATTTACGTGGAAAGATGTACGGGTGAGTTTCTGTGGAATCTTTTCTAGTTTTTCTGACTGTTATACTAGTAGATGTGCACTTTTGTTTATCATTTCCTAATTTTTCCAAACAATAAAAGAAACAAATTATTGTTATTAACTGTTGCAAATGATTGTTAGGCAATGCTGGTCCATCCTGATAAGAACAAGGGTGATGAAAAGGCTGCAGAAGCTTTTAAGAAACTTCAAAACGGTTATGAGGTAGATCTGCAGGCTCTACTGGTTTATGATATGAAGGTTTATTTTATGTTCTTTTCTCTCGTATGACTAAGTAATAATAATTTTCATTTTCACAATAGGTCTTACTTGATTCCTTGAAACGAAAAGCATATGACGAGGAGCTCAGGAGGGAGGAGCTGCTAAACTATTTTCGTAGGTTTCAAAGTGCTTCTCAAAAGGTTTGAACTTATATCTTGGCTTCTTGACCATGCCATTCACATTTTCATCATCACTGATTTATCTTGAACTTGAAGCAGGAGTGCAGGACAATTCCCTGTATCTATTTTGAACTCTCAGAATATGGGTGTTATCTTTGACATTCAAGTTAATTCATTTATCTCCTTTTTCTTCGTTGTAGTAAAGAGATTTGGTCCACATTATGTTTTCTTTTGTTATAATAAGTATGTTTAAGACTTCTACATCAATCTACTTAAATAAGTTGGATCTTTCCTGTGGGAAATAATGCATGGAATAAGATGGTAGTTTGTTATGTGGATGTCTCTCCAAGTTTCTGGCATCTTACAATCTCTTGCACAACACCAAAAGTAGCATCTAACTTGAGCCTTTTGCAATGATTGCCCAGAATGGGCGGCATGGCCTTTTTGCCTCTGGATTTGCTCAGTCAGAGGCTGATGATGAGGGACCCTTTGGAGAGTCCAGGCGAATTGCCTGCAAAAATTGTGGAAATTGTCATGTCTGGGTGCACACCAAGAAATCAAAATCTCGAGCAAGATGGTGCCAGGTTTTTCCTTCTCCAAAATGATGCATGGTTTTTTGTCATGCTTTTATAAATTTAAGACTGTATGACTGGATCTGATTTCCTTAAATATGACACACCTTTCCCTTAAGAGAAAATTAGTTTTGTTTTTGGAACTTATGTTGCCTCTGGGATTTTGCTTGTGAAGGAATGCAAAGATTTTCACCAAGCAAAAGATGGAGATGGATGGGTTGAACAATCTTCCCAACCCTTCCTTTTTGGGATATTTCAGAAGGTATGTGCCTATAATCAGATGTTGATACTTTTCTCGGATTTGATATATGAATGACTAGTTCTTTGATAGAAAGGTATCACTCTATCACTATTAGGAGGGGAATCATTCAAAGTACCTGCATAAGAAGCCTCACTGGACATAATTGTGATTGTTTTCATTATCTACATACAATCCTAATAACTACTTTTAAGGCTTAGCGAATTTGATATTTCGAGATACAAGTCCCTTTTTCTCATAAAGTTATTTGGTTTTTATGCAGGTCGATGCTCCCTCTGCATATGTTTGTGCTGATAGCCAGATTTATGATGCTACTGAGTGGTATATTTGTCAGGTAATTTCTTCTTAACATTGAGATTGCTGATTGCCTCTACTTTCAAGTTAATCTGCTTTGCAAACGAACTCATCTAAGTGAGTCTGGGTATCTAACGGCATGAAATGTCATCGGATTTTTTATTTTTTATTTTTGTTTATCTGAATCCCAATTTGGACAACTCTTGGTTAATGTCTAGATTCCTTCTTTTTCTCAAAAGGGTCAAGGGAGAATAACATGATGCTGGATTTTGTTTTGCAGGGAATGAGATGTCCACCCAACACGCATAAGCCAAGTTTTCATGTCAACACTAGTGTCATATCCAAGCATGGTACCGGCAAGGGATCGAGTTCGGGACAGAGAGGTGGCAAGATGCCAACTTCTAATGTGGAAGAAACCATGACAGAGGAAGAATTCTTCGACTGGTTACAGAATGCAGTTCAAGCAGGCATGTTTGACAATGTTAGTGGCAGCACCTCCGCAGAAAATGCATCAAGCAGATCCGGAAACTTCAAAGGCAGCAGTAGCAATAGCGGCAGTGGAAGTGGGAACCGGAGGAAGAAAAAGGGAAAGAAGCAATGGTAGCCATTTACTCAAATTTCTCCCTCAAATGACTTATAGTAAGCAATTTTTAGGGCCTAAAATGATTATGCCTTAGGAAAACTTGAATACAGTCCAAGGTCTTTTCAAGCAACTAGATTGGATAGAAGCCCCTGCTTATATTACAGAGATTTTGTATAGCCATCGAATTTTCAATTTTGCTTTCTCTATATTTTTTATATTTCGGATCCCATAATATGAAGCATCTTATCTCTTTATTCACCTCACCCACAGGTCTCTTGATTTAAGCCCAATACCTCTTTTATTAGAAAGGAATTATCCCTCTACTATTTAAGTTGTTCACATCTTTGAAAAGTCTTTCTTATAAGGGGTTAGTGTTTGTTTGCTTTATTTAAAAAAAATTAAGAGAAAAAAAGACAAAAAATATCATAATTCATACGTAGTTTATTAAATACGTGTTTATTAAAATGACGTAATTTTAAAATAATATTGTTTTAATATTTAAAAAATAAGACAGATAAGCATTGTTCTCTTCTTATAAATTGGTATTTACCATGTAGCCAATATTGAGTAGAATATTGGAGTAAGAGGATGATTTCCAAGCTCTAAACTTGGATACGAAGCATTTGAGCAGAAACAGACAATTTTTTTTCCAATAATTTTGTCTTGGTTCCGGTATCAACTTCAGTGATAAAGATTAAATAAAATAATTTCTTCTTTTTTTATAAAAAAATAATAATCTCATTTCTAATCAATATCAATACTAAAAATTAAGTAACTTTCTTTGTAAAACTTTGAGATAAAGGGAAAAATGTTTGCCAACAAGATTTGCAAAAATTAAGCAAAAAAGAAAAAAAAATCTAAAATAACACTTTTGAGCCGTGAAGGGAAAGTTATTTTAGCCTCTAGTAGTTTATAGTATTTTTTTTATAGGCCTAATTGATAAATAAAAATAAATTATTTCTTCATTGATTTTTTTTATTCTAAATAAAATACAATTAGTATTCTAGTTTGGTGTCAATTATTTTAAACCTTCTAATTTCCATAAAATTAATTTTCGGCTATACCACTAAAATGAAATTATTAAATTATTTTAAGAATCAACTTGATCATCTATAAAGATTAAGATCTAATTTCAACGTTTTGAATCAATAAACATCCACGTTGGTAGTCTGATTTACAAAAATGTGATCCATTTGAATATATTTTTAACTTTAAGGTACTAATAAGGCATATTTCAAAACGATGAAGACCCCATTCGCAAAAATTGACATCATTTTAGTTTTAACCAATCTGAATAGTTCGAAAATTCCAGGGATCGATTTGCAAAATTGGTCCATAATTTACCAAAATGATATCCTGTCTCCCTCCCCTACCCGGTTAGTTGCAGAAATGGAGTCGCTCCTCCAAGCATCCTCCGCGACCAGTCTCGCCCCAAACTTCCCAAAATTTACAAGCTTTTCTCGAACCCAAATCCCTCATTTGAAATCATCACTTTGGTTCTTTAATCCTGGACGCAGAAACCCAGTAATTGTCCTGGCAAAAAATAAGAAGAACAAGCAGGACACTCACAGCTTCGTCCCCAAACCAGATGAAGCCACCGGTCCTTTCCCTGAAGCTGTCCTTCTCAAACAGGTCTGGCCATGGACTCTCTCTTTCTTTTTTCTTGCATTTTCTATTGGGTATTGAATTCCCCTTTGTAGAAAAATAAAGTTATGATTTTTAATTTGTGTAGAATTTTTTTTTTTTCCCCACAATATGAGTACAATTGTTTTTATTGTGTTTATCATGATTGGTTTCGAATAATCGGATTTGGGTTTTGAATTTTGGGATGTGGGTTGTTTTGAACTTCAGAAGAAAGTTCAAGAAGACGGAAGACTCCTCCCTGACTTTGCTGATGAGGAAGAACGTAAGTCAATTATTTTGTCTGTTTTTTTCTTTTCCTTCTTTATATTTGGATGGTGAAGATTGTACTCATTAAAATGTTTGTGAGATTGCAGAAGAGCTGTATGAATATCTCAACCTTGAGCTGGAAAGCAAATTGAATGTGGAACAAAGTAAGCATCTTGCTAGTTACTCCCTACTAGTAGGATTATGCCTAAAGGAAATTGTGGTTGGAATTGGATCTTGAGAATTTAGAATCTGCAATGCTATCTTTTAAAGTCAGTAAAAATCACTGCTTTCGTTTTGACATTCAAGTTTATTGTCTGGTTTGATTCTCCTAAGACCATCGTTTATTTCTCTTGAAATTGACTAGGAAAACAAGAAATGGTGTAATGGAATATAATGCATTTGGAATTAGGAGTTAGGAATTTTTTTTTTCCTTTTTGAATTGGATAAAGTAATTGAACATCTGAGATGCCTTTTCAGCTGTTATACCTGATCCTTTTGCGAAGGACAAGAGGATTTTTAAGTTTTCTGGAAGAATTGTTCTTTGTAGGACTCACTGCTTGGTCATGCTGGACCCTTTTTTTTACAGTGCGCCACTACGAAGTGGTTTATTTAATTCATGAGAAGCATGGAGAGGAGGTTGGGAGTGTGAACGAGAAAGTTCAAGGTGAATTGTACTATCATCATTCTATACCTGTATTTTTTCAAAACAAAGTAATGCATGTTGAGGACCCTCGCTATGGGGATTAATGTCCCTTCATTAGAAATGTAACATTTTTGTCTGGTCTTGCCCAAAGACAGATTCATGGTGTGAAAAGATTTTACAGCTTTATCTCGTAGAAGAATTCAATGTTAAGGCAGTGCTTGCAATGATCTATAAGAGCAACTTTACATTTTTATGTCACATTTTAATTAGCAACCTTAACAAATTGGAAATGCTTAAAATATTTTGTTAAGTTGATTGCATTTAATGTAGATTCTTGTAGAACTTAACTAGAAGTTATATCTCCTTTAACCTGCCTTGAGTTTTCTCATACCTTTTGAAATGCATCCTGCAGACTTTCTAAGGGGGAAGAAAGGCAGAATATGGAGATTGAATGATTGGGGACTTCGGAGACTGGCATACAAGATACAGAAAGCAACCAATGCCCACTACATTTTAATGAACTTTGAGTTGGAAGCTAGATGGATCAATGATTTTAAGACCATGTTAGACAAAGATGAGAGAGTAATTCGGCATCTGGTGATTAAGAGGGACAAAGCAATCACGGAAGATTGTCCTCCTCCACTTGAGTGGCACACTCTTCGTGCTGGTGCAGATGATTATGACGAAGAAGAAGATGATGCAGATTTTGATGATGTCTATGAAGATGATGGAGATTGGGATGACGAGGAAGATGTGGATACCTATGAAGACGATGATGCCATTACTGAAGACGGTATTATTGCTGAGAACAAAGATGATGATACAGAAGATTGGACAGCTAGTGTAGGTAACACAGAAAGAAAAGACCGCAAAGCTGAAAAGATAGCTAGGTAATGTGGTTTCCAAGCAAAATTCTGCATTCTTTTGGGCAGTAATCTGGGAGGATTACATAAATGTAGCTCTCTGCAATTTTGTGGGACTATTCGATGTTAACTTATATCTATCTTAACATTACCAATTCCCATTAAAAAAAAAAATTGCAAATTGTGTTTGATCCTCAGTAATCAGTATCATTAATCACCCAGGAAATTTTAAGGGACTATTTGTCCCATATTTCTCTGACAATAATGTGAAATGTTGGCTACTATTCAATCACTTTTGTTCGATCTGAAAGGAAAATTGAGTAACAAAATCAACATGAACTGATAATAAAAGATCTGGGAGGCTTGGGAAAAATCATGCCTCCGTGGAGAACCAATCAATCGGTGCAGTAGGAATGTCACACAATTGTTGCCTCTAACATACAACAGTCTAAAATACACTATAATTCTATACAAACTATTGAGTAATACCGCCATTCTTTGTCAGGTAAACGTACTGGCGTAACGTAATGCAAGAGAAGAAAAACAGGCTCCTTGTATGACTTGGGACTCGTATATGCACTTAATTTTTCATTTTTTTGGACGATCGAGTGTCCTTGGATTAGTTTTCATGCGTCTCAACACTAGTCTCCTTCTGGGCAATATTAAGCACACTCTCTTACCTGGCATGATATATTTAAAAAAATTAATTTATTAGTGTTTATATATGCAGTTAATATATAGAGCAAGCTGATACCTTGCCATTAGAATTAATAAGGTTAGACCATATAACGGATAAAAGCTGCTTAAATAAGCTTTAAATGCCTAAACCAATATAATACTCTCTCCATTTCATAATAATAGTTGTTTTTGTTACTTTTTCTGTATGCATATTAAGAATTTAAGGAAAACTTTTTTTTTTTTACCTCTAGAAAGAAATAAAGATACAAAAGGAAAATTTTAATGGTAGAATTGAACTCAAATTAATGTGCCAGACCTATCTGTTAAAGATATGCCATGAATGACGTACAGATTATCAATGTCCATGAACAATGCAGAACCGACACCTTCAAACACTCCTATTTAATCTTGTTTATTTGAATTAGTAACTGCTGAGATCAACTCCCAGGTTGCAATTTTGTATGTTTGACCAAGCACCCTCCTTCAGCCACATGGCATCATTCCCACGCACGACTGCCTATATATGAAGCACCATCCTTACTTGGACATCCATCAGTAGCACAGTCAAGATCCATGGCGCAATCCATCACCTTCATTACTGCTTCATTAGTCATCTTCCTCTTTCCCTGCTCATTTTCTGTGAAGACAATCCCTGCATCTGATTTGGATTTGATAGAGTTTCCTCTGAACTTAGAGTACTTAGAGGCTGAGTTCTTCTTGTATGGTTCTCTGGGTCATGGTTTGGACACAGTTGCTCCAAACTTAACCATGGGAGGTCCACCTCCAATTGGAGCCAGAAGGGCCAATCTTGATCCTTTGATCAGAGATGTAATCATCCAATTTGGTCTTCAAGAAGTTGGGCACTTGAGGTACTGTCTCCTGTCTCCAACCATATTATTTCAATTCAAAATCCCTGAATTTCTGTTACACATGATAATGTTAGGATGAATTCTAATATGACCGCAGAGCAATTAAGAAAGCAGTGAAAGGATTTCCAAGGCCACTATTGGATCTGAGTGCAGAATCATTTGCAAAAGTAATTAATAGTGCATTTGGGAGACCATTGGTGCCACCTTTTGACCCTTATGCCAATAGTATCAACTACTTGATTGCATCCTACCTGATTCCCTACGTTGGACTCACTGGATATGTTGGGGCTAACCCCAAACTCCAAGGTTCTGCTTCAAGAAGGGTAAGTCCAAATTCAGAGTAAAGTGATGCATAAACATAGTGTTTCTTTAAACAAGTAGAATTCCTAAGAAACCATGTGCAGTTGATTATTGTGTGCTTTTGAACTTTTCAGCTGGTTGCAGGACTTTTGGGGGTGGAATCTGGGCAAGATGCAGTTATCCGAGGATTGTTGTATGAGCGGGCAGTGCAGAAGGTGAGTCCATATGGTATAACTGTGGCAGAGTTCACAAATCGAATTTCATGGCTGAGGAATTCGCTAGGACATGGTAGACGAAAAGACGAAGGCCTTATTGTACCTGAAAAACTGGGTGCTGAGGGTAAAATCAGGGGCAATGTGCTAGCTGGAAATGAGTACTCACTTTCATATGACAGAACCCCAGAACAGATTCTGATGATTGTGTATGGAACCGGGGACAAGGGAGTACCTGGAGGTTTCTACCCAAAGGGAGCCGATGGTCGTATTGCTAGATCTTACCTACACAGGAGCTAAATTTAACCAAACTACAAGCATCTTTGTGTATGACTAACCATGTATCAACGCAGCATGCATTAATAATACGTCTTGTTAGGTCTCTTACCTTTTTCTGTTTCCGGTTTTGAATGAACTATGATCTCGAGGAGAATACATAACAAAGATAGAGGCAACACAAGGTTCTGCGGCAAGTGGCCACCAGCCTACACAGAAAAAAGCATAGAATGATCAAGTCTAACACCTGCAATTGCATTAATCAACCTTTGAGCAGAAGCCATCAAATCCTCATTTGAAAAAAAAAAAAAAAAAAAAAAAAAAAAACCAACAACAACCACTTTAAACTTCACCATACCAGATTAACATTGTGCTGCTAGTATTTGCCTTGGAAAGATTCATCTGTAGTTTAGCAAAGAGATAACCTGGAAATGCTATAAACAATTGTAACAGCAACTGACCGCTTCAGCAGCCAGACCAGGCAAAAATGCCAATGATATTATTCAGTCAAGAAACTAGTTACAAAACCTGCAAGTCAGAAAATGTGGGAAATTACTCCTGCGAGATGTTCATATATATATATATATATATATATATCAAACATCTTTGTAGCTAAGTTTAGCAGTGCATTTATAATTTAAGTAGGAAAGCATGCCAAAGCCATCCAACATAAAATAGTCTTGAGTTAGGAATGTTCTATCTAAGAACCTTTCAAATGGCTTCTGAGAATGCAAGTTGCTGCTTGAATTCAAACATGATGGATCCCCAGTTGCCACGAACCCAGTGATCAAAATGCACATGGTTGTCCTATTAGCCTTCTCAAGGATTTGCATGCATAGCAGTTTGATTAACAATATAAATAATCATCAAAATCTCAAAAACCCATGGTCAACAGTAGTATCTGTTAGATTTTCATCAACAGGTGGGTAATCCATCTATTTAGAGAACAGAGATTCTTTAACAATTAAGATCATGTTCATCCATTGGCCAGGATA